CTCATATTTTTTCTTTGACTTGGGAGTGAATCTTAGTGCTCCACTGACAGAAGGGCTCATAATATTTTGAAATTTACTCCAAATTACTGTGCTGTTGAACCTTGGTTTTTACCTGCTCTCTTACTTCTCCAGGACCTCCAGCAGGTGTACCATGCTTCTTGCTGTGCACAGTGGTGGTGATCCACACAAAACCTAATCAGGATAAAACCATCAAACTTACCTTCCCTTGTGACTTGAATATAAGGCATAGTCAGTAAAAAATAAGGTTTGATGCTGTAAAATAAGGATTGTAACAATGCTACAATAAGAGTGGAAGAACCTGATTTTAAATTCATAGAATTCCTTCTGTTAAATTCCTAGATTAGCCTGTTCCAGTAGATATCTTGGTTTGGGGAATTTTCCACCCATTCTACAGTCTTTTAGCAGAGGAGATGGGGAATAGTTGCCTGTCTGGATAGGGTCTTAATTGAGCACCTGTGTGCAGTCCCTTGTGGTGCCAGAAGTTCTTCTGCTCTCCAAACAACAATGCATCTTGATGTCAGGAAGGATAAAAAATACTTTTCTTAGGGTCAGGAAACAATTCATCATTGCTCAAACTTCTTTTGAGACATTATTCATCTCTTTGCCCACAATGCTTTTTTTCCTTCTTGCTTTGATGAGTATTAAAGCAAAGAAGGTGACTTGATGTAGTCAAGAATCAGGACAGAGTAGAAAAAAAAGATCTTTTTGAGTATATTCATCAGGGGAAAATGACTTTTCAAATTTAAATTGTCTTTGCTTCTGAGGGTTAAGACAGGATTTGTGCAAAATTTACTTGAAAATTCAAATGGATAGGAAGACATCTCATAGTTTAATAGTGCAAATAAAGGACAAACTTTTAATTTTGAGATCAGACGTCTGTACATGTGGCCATGTGAAGTGCTAGGGAAAAGTGACAAAACTTTCCATTTGGCTTAGCTTGGAAAGAAACTTCTTAATCTCCTAGCTTGAGTAAAGCAGTTGTAGCACAGCTTTATACCTCCTACTCAGAGCTTCAAGGGACAGTTCACTTGTCACCTCCAGTTGCCCCCTTGTTTCCACGTGTAGCACTGGCAGACAGTAGAGCAGAGCTTGTACTATCCGGGTTAAAGCAGTCAGTAGCTACTGCGACCTCTTTGTAGGTGTGGAGCAGCATGGAGACATAATGGCTCCAGTAATCAAATGTCTTTAAAAAGACTCATCTCAAAATTCTCAGCACTCTACCTGAGAATTTTCTCAAAACAGGCTGTTCTTTAAGAACTTTACATCAGATCTCAATGTTTGTTATCCAATTGTAAAAAGCCACAGAGGAGAAACAATAATTTTTAAATTCCTATTACAATACTGGGTGATGTATTTCTGGTAGAAAATTTTCTGTAATATACAGGATTCAGCATTTTTAGATTTGGCACAGAAGAAACACAGGTTTTGTGTTGCTTTGGACTTATGGTGCTCCACCTTATGGTTAAAACAAAATATCCTCAGAAGGCTGTCTACACATGATTTAGTCAATGTGGGTTGAAGATTGCTTTAAAGAACCGTTGTGCCATGGCTATTGCAGAAGGACCTGACGCTTCCCATTAGGAAGCACTGCAAGAGTAATAAAGCCAACTTAATTTATGTGTTCTTAGCATTAGCATGATTTTTGTTAGTGTAGTTCCTCTATAGGAAAAGTTTGGGTGTCTTTTTTGCTTCCATCATACCTCAAGGTGTTAGGATGACTCAGGTTTCTTTCTTGGCCTTCCCATAATTTCATCCTGTGCGTTTAAGTAACTTAATCTGTCTCTGTCTCCTTGTTTGGTTCCTAATGTGCAAAACTGGGACAATAGAAATTCATGATGTCATCAAGGTCTTGTGAGGTAGACTCCATTACTGTGGTGGGGTTTTAAGATACGGTGATAAGTGCTGTAGAAATGCCTGCATTTCATATGTCTCTGCATACATAGCATTTCTCTGTCCATCATCATACTATTTAGTGAGAATGGTTTTCTACTCCTACTACTGTAGTCAGTATCATGAAGCTGTGTGGAAGTAGACATCATTGATCTAATGGCACATTTGTGGTGGATCTCCTACTCCATCCTAATGGTGCCAAGAGTTCAAATGCGGACAGGCATTGCTCTGTGAGCGCTCTCCCTCTTCCATGTCTTCAGACATGCCAAATCACAGCTCTTCTTGAGGCTCTCCTTTATACACCAACACAACTTAATTTTTTTATTTGTTTCAACAGATATTCCAATGTTTTCTGGCAACTATTCTCTGTTTTCACATTGTAATTATCAAGGTGATAAAGAGTTTTAAAACCTCTAGTAAATGTCTCAAAGTATTTATTTTTTGCAGAAAGAAACTTGTCTCTCTCCGTTTCCTTGTACAGTGAGATTTTTCACCCCTCTGTCTAGGATTTGTAGTATATTTAAAGCCTTTTAAATACAAGCACCATTTGGGGGCCTTTTGATGTTCTTCTGCCTATACATGTGTAAATAATTGACTTTTGTGTGTAAGTAATTGCACATGCAAATAGGTACCCATCCAATGTTATGTATTTATAATCAAATTCATAATACAAAATGGGAATAATTTTACTTTAAATATGAAAGAATTATTTTAAGTGTGTTCACGGGAAAGTTAATCCATATCCATATGTATGTGTTTGCAGGAAATAGATTATGCTTTTCACAACCTAGTGGTAGTTGTTAGCTCATAGGAATTGCTGCATTTCTGCATTACAGCTGTATGTTTTCCAACAGAAGCAGAACTATCTCATACTTGCAACTTCAAAATGTAGGTCACTGTGTTGGTGAATGTAGGTCAGAGTGAAGGGGAAGAAGACAGAATGCCAACTCCTCTGCATGGATCTTTAAGCTTATCCCTGTTTTGAAGGTAAAGAGGCTTACCTACCTGTTCAAGCACGAGAAGCTTTTCCTTTTACTAAAATTAACGCAGGTATTCTGGCTTCTGGCTTCTTGGCTTAGCTGGAAGCAGTGCGTGCTTCCACGCTTGAGACCCATGTTCGTGAAAGACCTCCTGTCTCCTGCTTCTTTAGCTGCCAGCCACTTACATCACTGCTGAGGTGACACCTCCTTCCCTCTGGGGGAAAGGAGCAGGGAGGAGAGTCGCCTGCATCGCTAGCATCTGCTTAAAGAAGAGCGTTGTCTTTCCAAAGGTGCTTTACCCTTCTCTCAGCACAGAGCTATCTGATGCACCTGCAGTTTCAGCCGATATCAACACGGTAATGGTAGCCGGGGAAAGAACGGTGACCCCTCATAAAAGATTTAGTGACACCACTCAAAGTACCCTTTCAATAATAACCATAGCAAAGTGAGAGAAATTTGACTGAGGGTACTGAAAATTCAGATGTTGAAAGATTTTCCTACAGTTGACAAGTATTTTTAAAACTCAGGCTAAAAGTTTGCTATAAAAGGGTTTAGGGTTTTTGTGTCTGTGGGTGTGGGGGTGTTTTTGTAATGTGAGATGTAAGTATTCTAAATGGTATTAAATTAGCCGTGTCTTCACTAAATATTAAAAAAAGCACTTTTATTGCTTGAGTATACACCAGTCACTGCAAACTGAAACATTCTTTATATTATACACTAAAATATTTAAACAGTCATTATATTTATTGCAAAATCTGTCATTTTAGCATATTTCAATGCTCAAAAGCATTGAAATGCTCAAAAGGGAGATGGAAAATCCTGTACAATTCTTAGTGTATGTTTCACTGAAGAATGGGTAGTCGTGTGTGAACGTTTTATTTTAACCCTTAGCAAGTCTAAGCAAAATAGCACATTCACAAACACCTAATCAGCCTAAACTGTCATAAACAGGACAAATACCAATACTGGTTTGGTGGTTTTGTCATACATATTGAATCGTCGCTCTATTTTTATTTTTCTTTTTTTACATTTAAGATCTTTGTCATACAAAAGTTATATGCAGAGTTTTAGCCAAGTCCTGTCTAGGCTTTTGCTTGGTCTGCAGGCAGACAACACATGCATAAATCTTCATTATTTACCACCACGAGTAAGCGTAGTTCAGAATACTTACTGAATGGAAGGGAAGAATTACATATTTGATGCTTACAATCAGGCTCTAAGTGATTTAAAAGGAAGACAGCTTTTCTCCCAAACTTCTGCTTCTATTAAATATGTCGTGATGTTTTTAAAATCTCAAGAATAAAAATTTATAAAAAGTGGTCTAAAGGATGCACATACATAGTAAGCTGCATGGAATTCAGTTTACCTGTCCCAAAATATCTAAAGGGTGCTCCCACATGTCTGGGTTTTTTTGGTTTACTGAAACTGTTGAAGTGTCTGCAGTTCATAATCTTACGGTTCTGTCTTGTTAATTCATAATGCTGTGTGTTGGGGGGGGGGAGGCTAACCCTGGTTTTTACCTGTGCATAGACACGTAAGCATGTTTTTTCATTGCTAAGCAACAACAGATGGAAAACACATAGAACCATAATTTGGCCGCCTGTACCTTTGATTCATCCTCCCTTAACTTTGGGAACCTAACTCAAGCGCCTGCATACACGTCTGTGAATATGAGGAGAGCGTGCAAGCCATGCAGGGTCTTTGGTGCCCTCTCCATGGGCCACGGCACTTTCGTTAGATCATGGAATCATAGAATGTTTTGGGTTGGAAGGGACCCCTAGAGGTCATCTAGTCCAACCCCCCTGCAGTGAGCAGGGACACCGCTAACTAGATCAGGTTGCCCAGAGCCCCGTCCAACCTGGCCTTGAATGTTTCCAGGGATGGGGCCTCCTCCACTACCTCTCTGGGCAAGCCATTCCAGTCTCCATCCACCCTCATTGTAAAGAATTTCTTCCTTATATCCAGTCTAAATCTACCCTGGTTTAGTTTAAAACCATTCCCCCTTGTCCTGTCACAACCGGCCCTGATGTTCAAGTGAGGCGGGAAACTTGTCTGACAAAACAGGGGAGTTTCATGAGTCAATGAGCGGTGTTGAAGGGGTAAATTTGCATGGATGCCTCCCACGTACTTGCCAAAGTTGACAACGACCAGTGTAAGTTTTATGATGGAAGCTTATAATACAGATTAGGTGGAAAAAGCGTGATTGCTTCTGTCTATTCCCATAGGAGAACTAGAGGGCTTCAAATGAAAATGTCAGGGAGGCAAGTCCAAAGCAAGAGAGGGGAGATGTTTCTTTATACAGTACAGTAAAACTGTGGTGCTTGCTGCCACGGGATGTTGCAGCAGCTATTGAAAATTTACCGCAGTTCACGGAACAACTAGAAAAATCCTTTGGTGACTAGAAAACAGAACTTATCACTTGTATCTCTTCCTCCTCAGGACCTTCTTGAGCCACAACTGGAAATCATGCTGCATTACTGCCCGAGTCCTGTGTTTGTCGTTAGCATGTATTGCTGGTCAGTGTCCCTTACAGTCAGACTCATGCCTGACCTAACAAAACCTAGGAGAAAAGAAGCTAAATAAAAAGAAACTGGGAAGAAATGAAATGACTGTAGAGGACAGCTAAGGAAAGACGAGGGAGCTCCTGTCCACTGTTAGAAACAGGCTACAGGTCAGGGTGGGCCTCGCGTCTGGCCTGGTACAGTTTGATGTTCACATGAACACCCAAATGTCAGAAGTTTCATAGAATTAAATTTTATATAACTTTTAAGGTCTTGACGATTGTATGTGTATGTTTATGTGTGTGTGCATCTATAAAGTAAATTTCTGATCATTAGTTAGGATGAAATCTATGAAATATTCAGTTCCAATGCTTAAATCAGAATTAAAAGTCTTACTTGTTTCTTTATTTCATGGTATTATGGCAAATTTAGAAGATGAAACAGTTGGTAGAGGTCTGCAAATGGTAATATGTATTCAAATATTATTTTAGACAAAAAAAAAAATCTGTTCTAAAAAGGTGAATATCTTTGTTTTATAGGTCTCTGGCCATCTGAAGAAGTGCTGGCTTACTACTGCCTAAAGCACAATGAAATATTCAGGTACAGAGTAAAACATAAAAAGATATTTTCCAATCTGTTAGTTTTATTGTATCTGCATGGTAAAGATTGCTATGATTTAAGTCTTCAGATTAAATTTAAAATGTTCAAGGTGAAAGCATGTTGCTCTTAACAAAGAATTCTGAGCTGCCTTTGGGTACTAATATTGCACAGCAAGCTTTCTGCTATATGTCAAAGACTTTTGATTTCCACTCAAGGCGTTTTATTTCACTTTGATTTTTGGGAAACAAAAGTGAAGCTCCAATCGATCAGTACTGATTGTGAAGGTCAGGAAAAATAAAAGACATTCTTTAAACTGACATCTGTTGCAAAAACAAACAAAATATTACCTGATAAAATACATAATAATCACTGTATATAGCGATGGAGGAATTTGCACCTCTATTTAAGTGTTGTGAACAATGTTGAGACATCCTGCATTTTCATTTGTTTTTGTTTTTTCACATTTTCTAAACTTGTAGAAGACAGTTGTCAAGGCTCCAATAGGAACACCTAAAAATAAAATCCATCCTGCATCCTCTCTCTTTCCCCTTGAGGATACAGAGCTTTGCACTTGGAAATCCTTGAAGTTTCATTGTCTGAAGGATGAATGGGGTGCAAGAGAAGCCATTATAACAATGCATTTGGAGGCATAAATTGTGTTCTGAGTGAGGGTGCAAGGCTAATACCAAGTGAACCAGCTTGGAGTATACAAAATCCCTCAGTCTGTGTACATATGGTGTTGGTAAAATAGGGGAGACCGAGCTGTAAGTCCCTGCCCCTTGTACCAAAGCTAAAAAGCGTATCAGCTGCGAGCTGGTTCCTGCAGCTTGCTCAGACTCCTATCTGAAATCAAAGCATGCCCTGGTTCCTAAAGCCTCATTTCTACTCCGTCTGCCACCTGAATGAAGCCCACCCCATTACAGGAGGCAGCTCACACCCCTAATCTGGTAGCTACTGCTCCTTCCTCCGAGGTTAGCTGGGCACTGCTGTCCAGCCCCATGCCGTGGCTCGTACGCTCTGCTTCTTCTCAGAGGCTCCTCACAGCAAACCTTCCTGTGGCTGCTCACTAAAAGGGTTTTTTCCTGGCTTGGGTATGCAAGCCGGGATACTCAGAGGCAGCGATCAGTCAAACTTCCATGGAGGAAACGGGGAGTTTCACATCCTGACTTTCCCAGGATTATGCCCTCTCAACAGTACCCTTAGAGCAGAGTTTCTTATTTTAATTCTCATTGATAAATGTCACTAAATATTGCCCCAGAGACAGATACGATTTTTAAAAATGTGCTAATAAGGGGACTTTGCACTGAAATAAATTATTTATATGCGTAAATATGTATGTGTATATGTGTGTATGCATACGTTCGTATATTATGTGCATACAAATTTGGTTCAAAATGCACTAAAAACCCCACACAAGTTACTTTCTGTGTTTACTTCAATAAGCCTGACTCTAATAAAGGCTTAAGTGCCTTGTAAATCTTATATATATAACCATATGTATATTCTTCTAATATATATGGTTTAGAAAAATAAACGCTTATGTGAGGAAAAACCTATAATCATTCTATTTAAACCACAAACTGCAAATTTCCCACATGTTTTATATTCTCGTTGGGTTTATGTACAGCTTGTTCCTCCAAACTATGTTCGTCTTTTGTCTCATTTCCGTTAAATAGGACAACCAGACTTCTTTCAAAACAAAATTTGTGGAGCCTAAGAAAGATAAATCTATCCCATCCAGACAGCGAGCATTGGTATACAGCCATGCAGCCTAGTCCGCTGGCCTCAGTGAACAAAATATCAGCATCTGTATACTGATACCGGTATGGCATCCTAGATGCTCTTCCTAAATATCAGTGCCGAGCAAGTAGGGAGGCAATGCTTTCACATAAAAAGATTTTCAAATGTTGGTCTTTTAGGGGAGAAGAAAAGGTGCACCAAAAAAAGTCTATTTAGCTGAAATTCCATTTCCTGCCTGTCAAAAATTGTCTCAGTGGGAACGTTTTTGCCAGCCGTAACAGTTGCCGCAGATTTAGCTGTAAAGCAGCGTGTTCCTAACCGGAGGCTCTGCCTTGCCCTAGCTGCCGCTTCATGCCGTTTCGGCGCGGGGTCAGCATCCCTCCCTCCTCCCCTCCTGGGGCAGGCCGTGGCTCTGGAGGACATTCTTTATGGCTCCCCCTGCAAGCTCCCATCCGGCACGCTCTCTGCGCCAAATTATATTTCACATGCACGTCTTAATAACGGCGCGGTATGGTCTAAGTTAAAAGCAGCCTTTTAGACCATGTATTCAACCCTCTGCTCGGGCTCAGTTTAGGCTCTTGACACTAACTTCGTTTTAGTTTTCTGTGGCTGAACTGTTTGCTGTTCCCATCGTTGTTCATAACAGCATTGTTTGTAGGTCACTTGCAGTTTTAAGTGCTAATTGAAGGATCGGATTTCTTCATGTGTAATTGTTTTGTGGTATGTGGCTTGTTTTAAAACTTCCCCCTTTTTAATATAAAAAAGCTTTTAGGCATAACTATATGGAGAGATATATAAATAATATTAATTTCCCCATTTACTTCCCTAACTGTTTTTGCAAGAATGAATGTGGATTAACATTGTTATCCTTTCCTAACAATTATCTTTCGCTACTCTAGCTAGTTTAGTTCTAAAAGACAGAGCCATTGACAAGGGAAAAAAGGGAACCTTCTCAGATTTTTCAGCTCAGCGGTGGTAATGTTGCACTGAACACTAATGAGGGAACCCCCACTGATTTGCCTGCTTTGTGACTTTTCTATTTCATAATTATTTTTAAAACGCAAAATGACATGAGGTAGCCCAGTCATGTCTCTACAACTTCCTGGTAGCTCAGTTCTTACTGCAGATGGCAATTTGTTCTTGTAACATATATGTGTCTCTGACCATTTTCATCTAATTTGTATGGGTTCTACCATTTCCTTTCTCTCTTTCAGGGACCTTGCTGTGTGTGAGCTAGGGGGTGGCATGACATGCTTGGCTGGGCTCATGGTAGGTCTTTTCTCAATTCCAATCCCATTCAGAGGAAGAAACAAAAGGAAAAATGTTCCAGTGCCTCCAACTGCTGGGTCAGAGAACTGTCAACAGCCTCAGCTGCGGTCAAGCTGCAGAGTCTTGAGAGACCTTCTAGATTGACTTGCTTTCGTATCATATTGATTTTATGGTTGCCTCGATGAGCAGAAACATTTTACCTCCGTGTAGTCAATATCTCTTGTTGTGATATTCCAGGCCACGTACGGTCTGTCTTTCATTGCCATAGCCGAAGCATTTTTTTTTTTTTCAGATTATAGTCCCATTTGCTAAGATACAGGAATAGCCTGGCGAATCACAGTTGGAGCACCATGATATAGCTGCTAATGTTTTGCCTGCATTATTACACCAACAAACATGATCCAGAGCTCTCGGTAATTAGATTCTTTTGAATTAGATTGGCCATTCAGGAGAGTCGTTCACCATTCTCTGGGTTCTGAGTCATGTATTCAGGAGATATTATGTAGCAGTGCAGTGCATTAGACAAGTTTTTATGTCTCTACAAATAAAAGCATATTGTTACACTGATTGGCATTTGACAAACCTGTCGCTCTTATACAATGTGTCGAGGTTACAGCCCAATGTGCGAGCATGTCAAAGCTCACAAAAAAATTACCCTTACAAAGCCATCTGCCTGCAATGCAAAGTTATATGAAGGGCATCAGGCAGTCAGACAGAAGCAAGCTGAAAGGCAGAGTGACAGCCTTGTATGATGGCTCTACTAGATAAACAGAAGCCCGCAAATGAAAGCCTCTCAGAATACCATCATCCGCTGTCACAATGCAATTACGGAACAGAATGATAGCAAGATAGAGGCTCCCGCAAATGGAATGATAAAAGTATTGACTGATTTGATTGAATGATTAAAATAATGCAGACATAAAATGAAAAAAGATTGAAGATTGTTACAGAGAAATAGGTGAGGAAGCATGATACTGAAGGCTTGTCACTCCTGTCTTCACTTCCACACAGACAAGCATATTTGCTCATTGTTTGCTGTGCTCTTTTTTTCAGGTTGCTATTTCTGCAGATGTCAAAGAAGTTCTGTTAACTGATGGAAATGAAAAGGCCATCAAAAGTATCCTTATTCAGATAGAAAACTGGTTTGTTGTGCTCGTTCCTTTTTACTGGCTGAGTAACAATCGATATAAAGACAGACAGCATGGGGTATATTAAGAAAAAGTCCCCACATAAGTAATTAAAAAATAGATGCAGAATATCTTGAACACAGCTACAGCTTCCCCCACAATAAATGCCGCGTTTTCCTATTTAATTAAAAATGTACATGTTGGTATGGAGCAAGTATAGCAGTAAATATTTGTCTTATGGTTGAGTGCTGAAAGATTCCTTGTGTGTATGCTGCACGTTACAGGAGGTGTAGCAGTAAATCAAATCATTAGCTCCCCTTCACATACTCGTTTTGCAGAAGAACTAGTTGGGGTTTTGTTTGTGGGGTTTGTTTTTTTTACTTTCAGATACTAGCCTCTTAAAACATACCCAGGATTTGCATATTGTCATAGCTTTTCCCGTGTATATTGAAATGCATGGTTTCGTTGTTGCTGTTAAGTTATAACTGCCTACAAATTACCCATTTAGTGTGCTTAATCAATTATCGATTTATCATTATTTCTCTGATGTAAGATTGCAAAACTCCTCTCTCCCTTGTAGAAAGTATTTTATTATATTTCTTATATTAGAAGAAATTGCTATTATGCCCTTCTAATATGAACACTTGGTTCAGAAAATTGAACTGGACTTTGGCTAAGCGAGAGAACGAGTGAGCATAATTTGTGGCCACATTAAATATCAGCACAGAACAAGAACAGATATATACAGTGAATACTAATAGCCCTTAGAAATTGAGAGGGGAAAAAAAAGGAAGATATCTATTTGCTTTTGTTCCTTGGTAATCTTTCCATTTGCATTTTAAGGCAGACTAGTTTTTCAGGTTTTGGCCACTGCATCGTTAGAACGATTTAGATTTGAGTTTTGTATGTATTTGAGAGCTAACGTAATGACTACTTAGTGGAAAAAAAAAAAAGTTAAACTGATTTGTGGCTTAAAAAAATTGCAGTTGCTGATGACTGCTAAAACAGGAGACACTGCAGTGCAATGACATTAGCTACTACCTTTAAAAAGACTTTCCCAGAGGTAACTGAGGTAGCTATAATTGCTTACAACACTTCAACAATTTCATGGAAAAAACAGCCAATCCTAAACCATATCTTTTAAAACTTGAAGGAAACCTTATAAAAGCCTCCTTTTTCTTGAAAATGCAAATTCTCAGTTGTATTCCAGGGATTCTTATTTTGTTAAATTCTGGTTTGTTGCACTCGTGTGTTGAGGAGGAAATAGTCGTTATTCTGTATATTTTAATCAGCGTCCCCCCTTCCTATCTGTGTTCTATGTCATTATGAAGACAAAAAACATGGCAGAAAAAAAGTGTTTCAAAACTAGCCTAACAAAACAAACTGATGTTTTATAGAAGCATAGGTATCTAACAAAAGGTCATTTTACCCACAGAAAGCTTCAGGTGAGCTCGGTAATCATCACGTCAACAAATATCTTGTATAGCAGATTCCATAAACATACCTGAACTTTTTTGAAATTTAGAAGTCTTATATAGCAAGGAAAATTGGTGAGTGCTAAAAGTATTCACTCAGTCTTTGGAATTAAACAAATGAAAGGACTTTTATTCCTGGAAAAGATACTGTTAATGTCATCTAATTAGCACACCTTAGTTTTTCACAATGTATTTTAGAAATATCTTTTATTCCCCAAAGTATTACAAGAAGTCTTCATCTGTATTCACTCAGTGAATCCCTTTCAGAGAAGCGATTGGTGGAAGGCTCTAACAGGAATTTATTTTTCTTTTTTAACATTTGGTGCTCTGAAGGCTCAGCATTCAAAGTGCTTTTATTGTGTTGGATTTTACAATGGGCTTAATATTAGCAGGGTGCCAAAGTGCAGCAGACTAAGAACTTTACAGTGTAGGTGGAATGTATTCTTAAAAGTGCGCATAATAAAATTTATGTTGCATTTTATGGACTTCAGTAGTAATTTTATGATCTGTCTTATGGTAATTTTCTTTTGCATTCTTTTCTATAGTGCCTAGCTATAACAGAAGTTTAGGCTAAATTTAGGTCTGTTTCAGCCACACCAGACTGACTGATATCACTGAGAATGTTTAGTGTAATTGGAAATAGTATTTGGCCCCAAGTGCCACAGACTACGAATTATGTATTTCTGTTAATTTTTATTGTTGCTGATGGCATTTTTTAATTGTTTAGCATACCAAATTAATTTAAAGGTGGGATAAAATACTGTTTTCTTTTCTAGATTCTGCTCCTCAGGAATAGTTAATGCCTAGTATTACGCTTTTTATGTAGGTATTATAGATTAAAATAATCTTGTTTAAAAATTACTGTTTACATCTTCCCTTTAAATTTCTTAGGAAGCTTAAATTACATGCCAGTCATGCTATAATATCCAAAAATTACTTTCCAAAAAGTAAAAGTGGTTGTCAACAAAAAAAGAAAAAAAATCACTGTCAGAAGCCAGGAAATCACCAAGCAAGCCTGCTAATTATTCTTAATGGGCAAGATGAGCACATTAAGAAACAAATGAATACATCAGTGAAATGTAATTGAAAATCGACCTGGCAATAGTGCATTGCATCTGAGAATCTGCCTTTATATTATCATCATAATTATTGTTGTTTTTGTTGTTGTTATCGCTATCCAGTGAGCGTAACTAACAGCTTTGCTTTGTGAAGTCTCAGGCTTTTGAGGATTTGATTTTTCTTTTAATTTTTGACATTCTTCATATTATTCTCCGTTTCATACTGCCACATGAAGTATTCAGTATGTATGTTTTCAACGTCTATATTAGGATATGTTATTGAAACGTTACAAGTTAAAACAATTTACAAATATGTTAATTTCAAGTCATAGTTGTAATTTTAACCATTTCACTGTGAAATAAATAGCTATATTTTATATTAATCAATGCATGAGGTTTAGGGAGGCTTTTAAAAGGATATTATGATTTGAGTTACTAGTCCATTTAAAAGACTTCACTCTAAGTCACTCTTTTTCTTATCATGGGCAGATTTTAATTGATTAACAGATCATTTATATTGCAAAATCAATAAAATAAAGACAGATGTTACTGCTTTTGCAGCTTTGTTCAGAACTTTGTTTTTGATTTAGTGTGTTTTATCTCAGTTCTTTCAGGATCATTTAGATAAAGTCTTAAAAAGAAAGATAGCTATTTCAAGTGAATAATAAAGATATACATATGCAAAGTTATCAGATTCATCCTCCTTTGTAATTTTGGGTGATACGCATTCAGATACAAATTTTCCAACTTAGGTAATAGCTGGCATAGTCAGTCATAAACACCGAAGTCTATTTCCCCAGAACACTGGAGGCACCTATCCTCAGTTTGACACATCCAAATCCAAGGACAAAGTTTGTTTTTAGTAAAAATTATCTCTTCTTTCAGAGAAGCTGTGTAACTTCTGCCTTAGCTCTGTTTCACACCATGCAGTAGTGACCTGAACTACTGCCTGAAAGCATCAATATATACAAAACATTGTTGCAGTGCACTATGATGGCCATTAAAATACAGTGTATGGATCTTGCAACTGTCCTGGGAAATTTAGGTTAGAAAGGTCATGTTCAGCCTGAATGCCTGAAGACATGGGCTTATAAATTATTTTTAAAAGCTAGTGTTAGCATGTTTACAACAGTTATTAATAGTTTTGGTCAGTTATATAGTTTAAGTGGAGTGTAGCTAATTTATAACAAACTCCCTACTTAGAAACAGCATACTTTACTCAGGAAATTATTTCTGCCTTCCTTTTGCTTCACAGGCATGGACCACTCATTACTCTTTCTCATTGCATATTGTGGAAAAGATTTAAAAGGCATGCCCAAACTGCAGATTTGTTGAAACCAGTTTTCTGTCATTCCATTTCTAGTTTTTGGCTTCACAAAGTATCAGTTGCCTTTTCTTTCTCATTGTTTAAATAGAGGCTTTCCTGAAATAACTTTTCTTAAATAGTCAACTGTGTTGGAAGGACAATTATGTGATTTCAGCAAAGCAAATAAAAAGATCCATTAGTGATATTTTAAATCAGCCTGACACTGTGTTCAATTTCTTATAAGAGCACTTGCAAAGAAGAATTCAACATATCTTGTGCACCTAGAAACATCCTCCTAATTAGCATCACATTTTCTGTACCTTAAATTAGAAAGAGTGATCGCTGACATCTTTGTCAAAATTGTCCCTTTAAGATAATCTTTAAATTTGAGAGTGAATCATTCAAATATATATGGATTCACACTGGGTGCCATTTAGTATTCTCGTAGTTCCTTGGTTACTTGCTACACCTTTTCCTTCCTATGGCTTCTCACTAACCACAAATGATTGATTATGAAGGTTATCTTTCCAGGCATAGGTGACTGGGCACAGCTTCCCTTGAAACTTTTCATTGATAGCCTTTGCCTGCCTGAATGGCCACCCAATTCTGTGACCTGATCTTCCAAACTGAAAGAAGTGGAGACATGAGGCTGAGGCATTGAGACACGAGGCTGAGGCACTGTTGCAGTGCCTGTGGGGAAGAAAAGGCATTTATTGCTTTGTACTATCTTTTATGGTGGTTCCAAACCATTCTCAAGAAAGAAATGGACTAGAAACTCCCTTGCCTATAGGTTAAGGTGCTCCCGTTGTGTGTTGGGTTTTACACAGACAGAGCCAGGAGCAAAGGTGCGTGTCTTGTGGCCGGGCAAAAACTCAAAATGCAAAAACCTCCAAAGCCTCAGCCCTGTGATCTCATGACCCAGTCAGTAGAGGTAGGCAACAAGAGCAAGTTGCTGCATAGATTTATGGCTGATGTGCTGGAGTAGCAATGTAAAATTTATGCTTCTGAAAAGACTGACTATTAGCACAGGTTAAAGAAGACCAAACAGATAAAAGATGTTATGAAGGTACAGACAATGGAAAAAAGTTTTTTTTATTATTATTTTTATTGCTGTTCTAGTTTTATAGATAATTCTTAACGAATATGCTACAGATGTAAGTGAGATTATCGCAAGAAACCAAAATGCAGGGGTATTTAAGGCTCAGAAAGTGTCAAGCTGGTAAGATTCTACTAAAATGTTTTACTGATTGTTGCGTGTAATTGCATATTTAAAGTAAATGTGAAATGTATGCAAAATTGTGAAAGTGTGACCTATTTTACTAATGCTGACAGATGTATATACAATGTAAGTAGGTAAGTGATGCAAGACAGAAATTTGGAAGTATTAAGAAGAATGTAATTGGTTTTTAACATAGCAAATACAGTATGATTAATCTTGGTGATGTAACCTCTCTTTCCTTTTTATTTTTTTTAACATGCACTATGTCTCTTCAAGCTGTGGTGTAGTGCATGGTTGAAATTTGGCTCCTTCAGAGTCAGCATTACCCATTGTACTGAATATGAGGCTTGGAATGAATGTACCTAAATCACTGGGAGGTTTGATTTTAAATAGCTCTGAGAATTCAGGGTGGCAACAAATCCCATTTACCCCTGAGGTGGATGTTGCCGGAGCATCTGTGGGAGGTTTTTTAGTCATCCTGCCTGTGCAACCAGTATCACGTTGTTGCTGTGAGGACAGATGGGGAGCATGGGAGGCAGGCACAGAGTGCTGGGGCCTTTCTCTCATTGACTATGTCCTAAGGTGCAGGGCACAGCCAGCATTTTTCTCATAGTGCACTAGCTCTGGTGTCTCCAAGTTAGGCCCAACAGCATGCTCTGGAGGACGAGTGTTGTAGGTTAGGAGAATTTGGTTTCAGATCATCTTCAGAGCCCTTCCTGACCCACCCTGTAATAGGTGGTGCCACTGAGGTTAGCTGTTTAACTATTTGTTTCATCGAGGCATCTCCAGGTACAATAGGGACTGGAAGCAGCTGAAATTTTGAAGTGTGTTCATCTCTTGTAGTATTTTAAAAGTAAATTGTAAAGTACTTCCTATTCGTGGTATAGGGTTAAGTATTAGAATGTGCTCAGAGATGGCTGTCTAAGAGCAAATAGCACACTCTTATTTGCGTGTCTAAATCTGCCTTTTTTTTGATGATTCTCATTCCAGAAGGGCTCTCAGTCCTTCTCAAAGTGACAAAAGTAAAGCTGAAAAAGGGCTGAGAAAGGCAAGCTGTTACAGCAGAATAAGCTTATTAACATAGAGGGTTAAACCCATACAATTTTAATGGCTATCATTCACATCATTTATCCCTATGCTTAGGTAGCCACTCTGTGTAGAGAAGTTCTTTAAGTGAACACTTAGGGTTAGAAAAATTCTGCCTTCATTAGGGTGTACGTGCATATAACTTAGAGATATATCTCTGCATCCTTATAAGTGCCTGCCGAGCAGACAAAGGCCACGCAGGCCCCAGGAATGGTCTTTCAGGTTCCATGTGCTGAACACTTCTTGTGAGTAGCCTCAGACACTCATCCCTGCTGAGGAGAGGCTGCGTGGTACCTCCATCCAGAAGCTTAGGGTTTGTAGATTGCCAGTTGCCGTCTACTTTGTATGAGATTTCAGATTTCATCCCTTGTCAAGATTTCAAACCTGGTCTTTTAGATATCAATCAAAAGCACATTTTCTACCCTTTCCTCATTTACATTTATCTAATGCTTAAGGTCATTTGTGATCATTTGAGTGTATTTCAGCATATGGAATCAGTGAATAATAGATTTCAGCCTCACGCTGTGAAGATAGATTGTGTTTTTACAAGACATGATGTTGTTTACTGGGTGTTAATAATCACTAATTAATAAACATATCTAGACGTCATAAAATATTGCGTTTTAAGGAGTAAAAATGTCAAGTGTTTAACTTCTTGAGTGCATTTGGGGCCTTATTTGCATAAATAAAATAATTAAATTACAAAATAAAGTGAAGTACTATATCAAAACATAAGGCTCATTATGATAAACACATAATTTGATTTTTAGTTCTACATTATTAAGGCTTTTCCAGATTTGTTGTAACAGCATAAAGTTTTATAAAATAAGTATTCAAATTACTCTCTAATCCCCAAAATAATGATCATCTTGCATTTCTCTCTCTTAAACACATTAATAGTTGATTTCTCCTGTCAAAATTAAGGTTATGCCTTCATTAGTTATTTGAGAAGTGCTAACGGATGGATCAGTCCTTCAGACTCAATAATGACATGTGATGAAGGCAGTAAGCAAGTTTTTTGATCAGTTCTTAAGGCCTTGAAGAAACTAAAAGGCTGATGTAAAATCTGAAATATTAACCTAACCTTGATTCACTTTTGCTACAATCAAAAATGGGAATGAGTACAGTGATGTATTTCAGTGACTTACTGCAACATTAATTTAATCTGGAGAAGGCATGTTCCTCACTCCAACGTATCATTTAAACTGTGTTCAGTCTTGCAACTTTGCACAGTGTCCGCTGCAAAGTTACAAGATTCTTTCCATATAAAAGATAATTCAGAATAGAACCTTCTCACTGTACCTTCTTCTCATGTCAGGATCTTGTACTATTTTCCTTGCACATGGAGCAGAGATTGTCAGTACGAGAGTCACTTTGTGACTGTTCCAGACGTTTAAGTCTAGACTTGGAAAATATGCCAAAAAATGTATGGCGCAAAAAGGAACAACCCAGTATCAGCCAAGAGAAGTTAGATTAGGACAACCTGCCATACATTTATTTATTTAGATTTACACAAAATGCCGTAAATGAGCACTTATCTAGCTCTCTGCCAACTCTTGATTATTGTTTAAAAGTACAGTAATGTAAGCCAAACTGGCAGTTTGTCATATTATGTGTTATAATGTAATAATAGATATTCAGTAAACAGTTTACTTCAGCAGTGGATATACAATTCTGTTTTATTTTTAGCTTCCATGAGTATCTTCAGAATTTCTTACTTGTGTTTCCTGAAAATAGGTACAATAATGCCACCAAGTTACTAATAATGACTTGCCATAGTAATGTGAATTATTAATACTGTGTATGGGTTTGACGATTTTTTTTTTCACAGTTCAAAAATTACCCGTGAATCACATTGCTTACCCCATAAATCATAGAATCATAGAATGATTAGCATATGAGTTATCCTGACAACAGTCTTTGTGCCATCAGCTGTTACTAGTGTGGCACGCATTATATCATTGTTTTGAACATGTCCACCAACAATTAAATTAGCAATAACAAAGTCAAGGAATCTCTGCTATTTTTCTTCTCTTTATTGTAATGTGTAAGTCCTCCTGAAATAGGGGTCTGGGTAGTAGACTTTTGAAAAATTGTTGTTACAAACATCATGATGGAAAAGCTTTATCAAAGAGGAGGGCTTGTAGTATGTTCTAAAGGTTAACAGACTCTGTCTCTCTTACCTACCAGGGAATTTGTTCTTCCATCAGATTCCCTTGTCTGAGAAGACCGAATCTGTTAAGAACAAAATTTGTGTACTTATTGCTGATATGGGACCTGTGAGTTTTAGCTGTGGACAAGTCTATTGTTTTGCTGAGAGTCACCTCCAAGAGATTACACGTAAGAGTGTAAACAAGTACATGTAACATCAAGTCAGTGAGAGAAATGCCTGTGGTGTGATGCACCCTTTGATTTGATTAGTAATAACATATCATATACTCTTTGTTCATTCTATAGTCAACATTAGAACCCACATCGAGAATGTATGACCGTGTGGCCAAAAGTGACAATTCCTTCGCCTTAAAGGTTAACAGATAGGTTATAATCTTATCTGAGATTTTAGTGTTCTTTACAAATGTAATGCATTTACAAGCTTCCAGAATTAAACCTAAAAAGAAAAAGTCTTTCTAAAGACCAAATGGCATCCAGTATAATAGTGGATGAGGTCTCAGTGCCAGAGCACTGAGCTATATAGTCCTGATTCTGTTCTTATATTAATTACCTCCATCTGTGTAACTGCCAACATGTGAATATTTTCCCTTACTGCAATGTTCTCCAAATATGCCAGCTTTCTGACCTTCTTGATTTCAACTGCTCATGTAACAAGTTCCATCAACGTCGGACAGCCTTAATAAAGACTCTCTCTCTGGTTTCATTCATCAAAATGACCTAAGTGTTGCTAAATTCAAACTTTTTGAAAGTATATTTATTGAACTTGTGTTTGTGAGCTTAGCAACCCTAAAGGAATTCCTTTCTTCCAGCTACTGTTCCAGTCTCCTCCTCTTGCACAACAGCATCTATTGGCAAGGAAGAAGCTGCCAAAAGCAAAATTTCCTGCTCTTTGGTTAGAAAGAAAAGGCTCCTGGTTCCTGCTCTTTTAACTTGATCACTTGATGTATGTGTGGGAAGAAACAATGAACAGTCTGTCTGTTCATGCCCATTGTGAATTTGTAGCTATCACAGAAAACTCAACTCAGGTGGAAACCATTCCATACCTCTGATCATACTTGCCCTGCTCTGTATCTTTTCCAGTTTCAATCTACTGGATTGAAGGGTGATCAGTACTGCATTCAAAGTGTGCATAAATGATAGATATATGTAGTGGAATAATTATGCTTTCTGTTCCTCTTCTAAAAATGCCTAACTGGTTTGCTTTTTTGACTGCAGTTGAGCACTGAGCTAATACTTTCATCACGCTGTCTGTCACAACATCAGGAGCTTTACAATGATGGTCAGTTTAGAGACCTTCATTTTCTTTATCAAGTCAGAATTCTTTTTCCCATTGTGCACTTTGCATTTATCCACACTGAATTTCATCAGTCATTTTACTGTCCAATTACTCAGTTTCATCCTTCTGCAGTGCTTCTCAATCTGCTCTTTTCCTTACTATCTTGAATAACTTCTTAACATCAGCAAACTTTGCCACCTCATCTCCTGTAAACATGTTGAATAGACCAAGTCCCAGAGGAACTCCTCTGATTATCTCCATTGTGAGAACTGCCCATTTACTACTACCCTGTTCCCTGTCTTTTTTCCATTATTTAGCCATGCCAGGACTCTTCTCCAGTGGTTGTTACTTTCCTTAGATGCTGTTGGTGAGGTCTTTGCCAATAGCCTTTTGGAATCAGAAGCAGCCTGTGTTACCCAGATCACCCCTATCTGAATTCTTGTTGACACATTTGAGGAGCTCAAGA